GGCTCCCCCAGCCCCGCCTCCTGAGCCTGGCAGACGCGCTCAGGGCCGCGGGGCGTGGACTTGCGGATTTGCGCAGGCGCAGGTCTCGGGCGTGCGCATGTCACTTGGGCGCACGCACGTCTTTCCCGCGCATACGTCCCTTACCCCTTAGGTCCCTTACGTCCCTTGGGTGCACGCACGTCTTTCCCGCGCATACGTCCCTTACCCCTTAGGTCCCTTACGTCCCTTGGGTGCACGCACGTCTTTCCCGCGCATACGTCCCTTACCCCTTAGGTCCCTTACGTCCCTTGGGTGCACGCACGTCTTTCCCGCGCATACGTCCCTTACGTCCCTTAGAGGGTCTGAGGCAGGATATCCGGGGAGAGCGCGGTGGGGAGAGTGATAGGAGTAAAGACGCCCTCCTTCGAGGGAGGGTGATGAGGTAATTGGAGGCAAAAAAAAAAAAAAAAAGCAACAACACGCAAAACAAACCCACAAAACCCCAAAATGCATAGGTATTTTACGATGCAACTACTCAATGGGGTTTTACTAGATTTTGATTGACCATTGAAAGCCTCTAGACCTGAAGAAATGCTCATGAACAAGGATATGAGATGGTATGTGTGCAATGGATACGAAGATGTAAAAGTATGTACTTACACAGAAAAGGATTAGAAAAGAATATACTAGAAAAATGAAAATTGGGCTGGAATGTCAGGATTAAGGCCCCCCCCCCCCACACACACACACACAACATGGTTTAGTAAAATTTTCCTTGGGCTTTGGAGGCAGGTGGGCTGACTGCACAGAGGCTCCATCCGCGGGGCTCCCGGCACGCGGCCTCGCACACCTGCCCTCAGACCCTGCCCCTGAGCTTCGGAATATGAGGAACCCGGTGGGATTTGTTTAAGGAAGCTTTTGTTTCTATTTTAAACTTTTTTTTGGGGGGGGGAGGAGATAGGTTTATTTTGTGTGTGTTAAACTCGTTGTAAAGAAAATTATAACCTGAAGGAAGTAAAGTTCATCCAAAATGCTAACACCTTGGAAGGACCACTGGAAATATTTTGGCTAGAGTCTTCTAGAATTATCCTTAGTCTAAAGAAGTGGATTTATATAATTATTCGTAAATGGGAACAATTTCTCCCATTTATATTCTAGATAATCTTTTTTAAGTAATGAGGTTCTTTGAAGATCAGTATGCCATTTTAAAACTTGATGACTGTGGAGAAATTTTTAAATGTTCAAAAGTTGAGAAAAAAAGTAAAATGAATCTGTCACACAGGTTCAACAGTTAGCAATTTGTGACTAATCGATTCATCGATACTCAGCCCATGCCTCCAAATCAGATTATTTTAAAGCAAATTTAAAGTAAATCTATAGTCTAAATTACACTTAAAGGAAATCTTGAAAGCAAGTCTGTGCTTTGTTTGTATATCATGGCTCAATTTCTATTTTATGAACGTATCCATTCACATTTTTGCTTTTTAAAAATTTATTTTTTCCCTTTCATTTTGTTTTGCCCCTTACGTTTTTAACCAGTTTTGCATTGATGAGCATTTTGTTTCCTGTTGTAAACTATGCCATGGTGTGTATTCTTTTGCTCAAAAAGTAAAGTCCTTTCTCTCCAAACACCCACAGGGATGATACTCAAAATATGTAACAACCAGTAAGACGTTCAGAATAGACATGGCTACAGGGCTGGACCAGGTCCTGGAGGACCCCACACCCGCCCCCCCGCCCCCATGCCAGGCTACAGTAACCTCTTAGGAATCATGAGGAAGCTTGGGGGTGCCAGGGGAGGAGTGGGGGCAACCCAGGGGCAGGGAGGGTATTTGGGGGTCTTGGACAATGTGTGGCAGCATTTCACTGGTTCAATAACTGCATACCAACTAAACACCAACCCTCCACTTTCAGTGTTTTTCCAAGAGGTACCACTGTTAGTATTTTTAGCGTCCTTCCAGAAATATATATAACATTCACCTAAATGGGAGCATACGTTACACCCTCTACTACACACCCTCTTTTTGCATAAGAGGGTGTGTAGTAGATAGTTTCACATCAGCATAGACAGATTTCCTACATTCACAGTGGCTTGATGTTGCACTGTATGGCTCTAAGAATATAAGGATGTGTGTGTGTGTGTGTGTGTGTGTGTGTGCGCGCGCGCGTGTGCACGCATGCATGTGTGATACAGGATTTTTTTCTCCCCATTTTCCTTTCCTGCATCTCTCCCTGAGGGTTTTACCCGAGGCTCAGTGGACTGAAAGTGCCACCTGGTGGTCATCAGTGAGCCAGCTGAGCCTTCAGAAAGGTCACTGGTACTAATTAATCAGAAGAAAATAGTTATATAAAACGTCTTTTCCAAAGAACTTACCTTGGTCTGCCCAAAGATTTGTTTTTCCCATGTGGTTTCTTGCCGAGTCGAGAGTCTTAATGACATCACAATGTTAGAGAGAAACTGTTTCCTATCCACACAAAATCAAAATTCATTTTAAGTCAAATCCAGAGGTTCCAGAACTCAAGACTTTAGTGATCATTCCAAGTGACTGAAATGCCAAAGCAGAAAATGCGGAGTATGTGTAGCACAGAGAGACAGACTTCCAGGGGATCCAGTCACAGGCTTTCACAAAGGCTGAACTGGCACGAGCATGAATGTCCTTTCTAAGGACAAACAGTTTAAGTCTTTCAATGTTGCAACGAAAGTCAAACTAGGGGAGAAAGTCACCCCTCTATTCAGACTGTCTTGACTTGGCCCTTCTGAGTTGTGAGGTTTGTCCTTGGTAGATGGTTGGGGAAGGTTTGTTTCTTTCATTGCTATGGAAATAGAATGGCCTCCTTTACTCAGGCACTCTGCTCTTAGAGAGAGAAGGCTGGAGAGGCAGCCAGTTAAGAAACTCTCCAAGACATAAGATAAAATACACGTTAGATACGCTTTCAGAGGAAATAGAGTTAAACAGCACTCCCAGGCTAAATTGGCCTATGACTGTAGTTGCCAGACAGAATCTATGATGGAGTTTAAGCTTCTGTCATTTGCTCACAGAAACCTAAACTCTAACATAGGCACTTTCTTCCTTGAGTTTCAAGCTTTGAAATCTGTAAGTGCAAATCCCCAAGGGTAGAGTCATTTTCAGTTGCTGGGAGTTCAGATTTTTTCCCTCTAAGGCTGCTTTTTCTCATTATAGAAAAAAATATGCTTATTATAGACCAGTGGCTTTCATTTTATTTTACTGCAATCCAAAAGAAATATATTTTAGCCCAGCCGGTATGAGCATCAACCTATGAACCAGGTGGTCACCGTTGGATTCCCGGTCAGGGCACATGCCCGGGTTGTGGGCTTGATCCCCACTGTGGGGCGTGCAGGAGTCAGCCAATCAATGATTCTCTCTCATCATTGATGTTTCTATCTCTCTCTCCCTCTCCCCTCTTCTCTGAAATCAATTTTTTAAAAAATATATATTACACACTTTATAATAAGTTGTATGAAATTATACCATTGTTACATACTGTTCTCATCTATTTTTTCCTTTTAAAATGAAAGTTGATTATAAATCTACTTTGATGTCATGATCCACTGATGGGTCACAGCCCAGTTTACAAACATTGATATAAACTCGTCCATTCCTTCTACTCCACATTGTCTACTGTGTGCCGGGCACTTTTGTGAGGTGGGGAATATCCATCAGTTCCTGTGCTCCATCGAGCTTAGAGACTAGTGGGGGAAACAATACATTCAGCAAAAGCACAATGAGGCTTGCAAACCAGATGCAGTGGGAGTGTATGGCATGGTTTCTCTCCGAGTCTAATGAGACAACAGTTTTAATCAGAGAAGGGATCTGACTAGTTCTGCATATTAGAACCATCATTTTGACTGCAATGTAGAGAAACAATAGGAGGGGCCAAGACAGGCAGGGAAACCAAATTAGTGGTCAAATGAGGCTCAGTGGTGGCCTTAACTGTGGGAACAGCAGTGGGATGCAACCAGATGATGGGGTGAGGAGGCAATGCTGACTCCTTGGTTTCTAACTTAAACAACTGAGTAGTTGGCAGTGCCATTTATTGAGATGGCAGAGTCTGGGGATAAACAGGCTCAGGGGAGTCGAGCCCCACTTCAGGCTTGGACATGTTGAGTTTGAGATGCCAGCAAGACAGCACCCAAGTGGTGATGTCTATTACATGTGTGGGAATTCCAAAGAAGAGTGTGGGCTGGAAACACCTTAGGAGTCTTCAGAGTAGATATTTAAAGCTAAGAGAGTGGATGCCATCACCCAGGGAAACGGTGTTGTGTAAGAAGAGAAGAGGGTCTAGAACAAAGCCTTGAGGAACACCAATATTCCTAAAAGTGTGGCCAGCTGTCAGTTCTAGCATGTACAACTATCACTTGAATGTAAGTGGCTTAAATCAAAGAGGTTCATTAATTCCATGAACTACAAAGTATGGAGGGAGTGCTATCAGAATTGAAGCAGACTCTGCAATGTCATTGAAGAACTGGGTTCTTTTCATATTTCTGTCATGCAACCTCAGTGCGCTGAGGGGAGCCTTGTGGTTGCCACAACTCCAAGCACCATGAGCAGACTAGCTGGGGACAGCCTTTAAAAGCTAAAAGGGAGGGAAAGAAGTTACAGAGAACAATGGATAGATTTGACTAGTCACCTAGTCAAGTCCATCTCCAGCTAGAGATTGGATATTTAATTTGAGTCTGTTTTATATTTAAGCGTTTTGTTATGATGTAAAGAGCAGGATTTGGGTCTTATGTGGATAGTGTTTAAAAACAAAGCTACGAAAGAGGCAGGTTCCGAAGGAAAAGCCCAGGCACTGAGCTGGCCAAGGTGTAGCACTAATTAACACTTTGGGATTTCCCCTCCTACTCCTTTTAGATACTAGTACAACTTTGTCAGCTCCAAAACAGAAGGGAAGAAAATGAAGGCTTGTAAGGGGGCTAAGTGTTAACTGCTCTCCTCTGGTTGAATTTAGGGAACTTAGGCATTGCATAAAAGGCTCCTTTCCAAAGGCCCAGGAAGAGGACTGCTGCTACTAACATTAGTATTTTGCTGAGAAGGCACGAAAAAGAAAATTTTAATAAATATCTTGAGAAAATACAGTAAGATCTGTTTACTACTTATGACTATTGTTGGTTTGTTGTGTGTTGGCTGTACCAAAAAAACAAAATGGAAAGACTTCATGCAGGACTTTCAGTGAAAAGAACTGGGACTAAGTACAGAGGAAGACAAATGAAATTTAAGAAGATACTCGTGTTTATTATCTGATTTACATTTGACAAAGCAAAGCTAGGTGCAACAGAGAGCGGTTTGACAAAGTCAAGCCCAGATATCAAACAACAGTATTTCCCTGGCTGTCCCAGAGCGCAGGTTGCCACTCCTAGGTAGCTGTGCTCCGCAATGCAAACCACTCAGTGTAGACATTATGGTGCCGCACTTGGAGTATAGGCCTGCAGGCACTCGACCTCAAAGGAGTGGACCATTAAACACCCAGAGCTCTAGTTCAGATGTCAAAAGTCAATGTTAGTACCAATAAGTACTACTAATTATGTCCTAGAGTGATCAGAAAAGCAAAACAGGCTTTGAATACCCTATATAATATACCTTCATAAAGAAGCTCTTGTTATGAGCTGCCTCTAACTTATTTCCTCCCTTTGTCAAAATCTGTTTATTCATGTTAAATTAAGGACATATAGTATAAAACTTTTTAAAAAACTAACAATGGCCATTACCTTTTCCTTAAGACACATGCCTAAGGTTATTAACAGAAGATTTGAAATCATCATAATTCAGGAGACCCTTTAATTCTGAGCTTAGGAAGGTATCCTTCCTACTATATAACAGGATACTCAGAAATACCTGAGGTATAATCACTGAGAACCTTCTTGAAGGAGGGGAAAAAAAAAAAGATTGGAATTTCCTATACTGGCATAAAAGTACATACACAGTTGATATAAAAAAAACTAAAATGTTAAAGCGTAACAGATAATTGAGGAGGAACTTGCTATAAGGCTCCATTTCTTCTTACTATACTTTGCACACAAGTTTGGTATAATGGATTCTCAGGCTGTACCAAAAATAATTTTAGGCGAAAGCTTCAGCAAACAGTAAAACCCAATTCAAGACAGAATTCATTTCTAGGGACAAGCATGCACCAGTATACAATTATCATGTTTCTTGGTGGAACAGCAACATCAACCTAATTTTGAAAAATTTACGTCTGGTTCTCCTTAATCAGATGTGCCTCACTTGGCTGTGACCACCCCCTTACCCACCTCCCAAGTGATCATTTTAGCATTGGTTATAAAAAAGTATAGTAAGGATACAGAACACTCCAAAATCTTAACTTATAGATGCTTAATTTAGAGATATTTATATAATAGAGATAAATATCATAACTTAACATTTTGTACTACTCTGTGGCCCTACATTTTCTTCCTGATATCTCTTAGGATCTGGCAACAGGAAGATTACTTTCTTAGAGAATAAATAAAAAGGCTTTAAGAATCAGCTAAAAAAAAAAAGAAGAAGAAAAGAAATACAGAAAACACACTGCAAAACTTCCAAAATAGCTCACCTGCTAAGTCTTAAGTGTGAAGACTTCTGAGTTTCTGCTGTGGTGTCTGCATAACTGGGACCTCGTAAGTGGCCCAAAGTCCTAGAAATGGCACTGACTAATGGCCAAGACCAAAGGCCCAAAGAAGACACTGTGATGTTACTGGACCTCCTGGGGAATAATCTCCCATCCAACGACAACCTCACATTCAAAAAGCAAAAGCCTTGACTCCCCCATTAAAACGTTCATCCTATAATTTCACAGATATCTAGAAAAAGGCAGATGTATTTTAATTATTTTTTATTTAAAAAATCAGTCTCAAAGCAAGCACCTGGGTTTTACTTCGGCTTATAATAAATAATTAAATGTGCCTGAGAATTTTTGTGCAAATACATGTCATCTTCCATTAAAAATATGCATAGCACACTTTGGAAAGAGTTTAGTTGCCAACTGTACTTGTTACAAAAGTGTACAGTTGTAAAGATACAATATTCTCTAATTCCTACTGATTGTACTTCTGATTTAACCTTGTCCAGCCTCCAAGGAAAGTCAATTATGTTCACATTCCTTGGCCACCACTCTTATCCAGAAATATTCTGGAAAAAAAGTTATGTTGGTTCCAATTTACCCATATTTCCTTCTTAAAAATAAATCCTACCTCCCACAATGTTGTGTTTCTTTTGGATGTTGTATAAAAATACAAATTTAAAAAATGAACTTATTAATCACAAATACAAAAGGAATTTGGGTGGTGTTTGGGCTCCCAGAGACTCACAGGCCTGAAAATAGGAAGCAGAAAGACTCTACTGTTCTGATTTTATGAAAATACCTTGCTTGCTAATGCTGAGAGCTTGCCATATGATGAAGGCGTAATCTAACCAGACATCAACAGAAAACATAAAAGCCACCTCACTGGTGTTTCAGTAAAGAGACTGGTTACCCCAGCAACCTTCCAGAACAGCTTTCTCTAGGCAACAGTCAAGGCGGGTCCTTTTCTCTTCCCACCTCCTCCTATCCGGAGTGTTCTCTGCTTATACTTACCAGAAGTAAATGTGCTGCAAATTAAGTATTCCTGGTATACTTCCATATTACTGAATTTATTTTCTGGTCACTTTTTATTTTCAAGACCAAAAAAAAAAAAAACACAAGTGAAGGAGTGTATTAAACCTTTGTTCCTTTTCTGTCTCCACTCCTGACCCATTCATTTATACTTTTCAATTTACTAGACCTCATTCACTAGGACCTCATCCTAATTGTTTCCAATCTTCCACTTTCCTCTTCCACATTCACAGCCCAACTGCGACATTCCTTTTCTTTCAGTAAGACCGGACTACGTGTGTCAGTGCAAATCTATCCTTCATGTGCTAATTTGTGTAAGAGTTCAGTTAACTGCCGAACCTCACTCCTCCTTCAGGTTATCCATTTTGGGTGAGGATGTGCAAACTGAGGTGCCAAAACTACCTACCATGATTGGAAGACTCTGATTTCTCCTCAATCCACTCAATAAATTGCTACCTGAATTTAAATAAACAGTAGAGTCTGGTCTTCGAAGACCAATTTCTGCCTCTTGGCTTCTTCCATGTTCCTGGGCGTCAGGCGTCTTGATCACTCTGGCTATGCCTAGCCTCTTCAGCCTGTCTACTAAGTTCATCTTCAACTGGCCAACATCAGGAGAGTTCCGGGAAGGTCTCAAGCCATACATCTCCTGGAGGAATGTTTCGGCCGGTCGTGAGGCCAAAAAATTTTCAGAGAGATGTACTCGAGGCTCAAAGGGCAAGGGAGAAGGGCAAGGTGAGTGAGATGGTGAATTTGGGGGTGTGGAAGGGATATCCAGGACTTTAGGGAGAGGCTGAAGGAGGGGGTTCTCTGAAACGTGGCTGTGGTACACTTTAGCAGAAATGCCTCGCTCTTGTAGAAGTTTGGCCAAGCTCATGGTGCTGCTGCAGGTGACAGTGGAATCTCGTCGGTTGGTGACTGATTCACCAATGCTGAGTCTATAGGACGTGGCAGGAGAATTCACTGCCGTGCTTGATGAACTGCTACTGCTACTTCCACAGGATAACGAAGGGAACCCAGAGCTTAAAAAAAATGCAGGAGAGACAGTTAAGAATAAAAGCCATCTCCAATTCTCCAAATCAGTATGTAAGTAATTACAGTAGGTATCTACAGTAAATATAGAGGAACTGAACTGAACTCTGTGGTAGAGATCTGAGGAATGAAAATTTTGATGTTACTTCAATGATTGGCTAATTTATAATTTGAAACATCTCATAGGATATGAAAGTTTACAGTAGTCTTAGTTAAATTCTTAAATTTTAACTATATATCTATGGGAATATAATTAAATTTTATGATAGAAATCAAATTTAAATATTAAAGAAAGTAACCTCTAAAAATTTTTATTAATACATCCACTCCATAAAGTGAAATATGCCGAGAGAGCAATCCATAAGTAAACAATGGACTTATTATTTTTTTATTTCAGAGAGGAAGGGAGAGGGAGAGAGAGAAACATCAATGATGAGAAAGAATCATTGATGGGCTACCTCCTGCATGCCCCCTATTGGGGATTGAGTCCACAACCTGGGCATGTGCCCTTGACCGGAACTGAACCAGTTCACAGGCTGACATTCTATCCACTGAGCCAAACCAGTTAGGGCAACAATGGACTTTTTAAAAAACAACTTTTCAAAATTAAATCTAAGATGCTCTTCTAAGGAGAAATTTATTTTTTTAATCTTTCAATTTTATATTATTGAGAACAAATAAAATTCTGTTAAATCTGAATTTTCAGGAATGTTAGTTCCAAACAGTAGTATAAGGATATCATGGAACACATTTTTCTCAACTTTGACTTAGAATACAGGTTTCTGGGAAATTAAAAATAATTAAAAGCCTTAACAGCTATTAGAATATTTCTTCTTATTTTGTTTTGTTAAAAGGAAAAAAAAACTGAATAAGAAATGGTGATAGAATGGGGAGAATATTTCTTTAGTCAATTTCCCTCCTTGATCAAATGTTACCGTATTTAATAGATAAACTTTCACTTCAACAGAAAAGACTCAGTATATCAAGATATCAAGGTTTTTAAAGATTCTGAACAAAATGTAAGCCTAGGATCACTAAGTAAACTTTCCAAAGTACCAACTTGTATAAAAGAAGCAAAATGCAAATAATTAACTGCTTGGTTAAACTAAAAACCTCTAAACGGATGAGGTCTATATACTGTGCTGCCAGAGTCCCTATTTAATGCAGAATATCCCTGTCCTTCCCCAAGTTGTACACTTCATATGATGGTATCAACCTGAATTGAGAGTCCCCTCAGGAACCAATTTTATAAAATTTACCTTGTTGAATGTAAGAACAATGTAAAAAAATTACAGATGTCTGTTCATTACAGACCTTATTGAGATCTTTACTGGATATCACCCAAATGCTTCCCTGAACAATTTATTTGCTTCTATCTGATAGACACTGTGGATCATAATGTTATTTCCCTCCACACTGGCAGATGGAAAGTTAAGAACCGAATGCATGCTTCACCTCAGCAAGTATATAAAACTTTATGGTACAATATGCACACTAAGCTTTATTCCTCTATCCATTTTATAGCCTTACTCTTTGCTTTATTTTTCTTCTCTCCTAGTTAATAGTATCACTGCAATAGTCTCTGAATTTTTGAAAACTGCCTTATATTCTATTTGGGAACTGGTAGGATAGAAATAGCAATATGGCTTATTAAGTTGAAATCCCTCAACCACGTGTTGGAATGTAATATTCATGTTCTAGACTGTGTAGTAAATACTTTGGCCTTGGCCAGAGGGGTCTGGTCTTTTTGCTCAGCTTCTGGGAGGTAACCTATGCCATATCTGATAGAAGTGTCTTTGTTTAGGATGGAAGCTGGCCACAGTAGATCTCAGTGTGGGCCTGGCCACGTCACACAGACCAACCATTTTATTTAGGGTGGTGGATTTGGGTGAGTGGACCTGGAGGAGAGTTCAACCATATGGGTAATCAATCAATCAAGCATGCCTACACACTGAAGCTTCAAAACAAAATCTGAGACAGGCGAGCTTCCCTGGCTGGCAATACTCTGTGTGCACTATCACACATCAATGCCAAGGAAGTAACGAATCCCAAGGACAAGGGAAGCTTTGCAAGTGGATTCCTTCCAGACTGGTCTATGCATCTCTTCCTTTGGCTAATTTTAACCTGTATCCTTTTCCTGTAATAAATAGTCACCGTAAGCATAACAGCTTTCAGTGAAGTCCTGGGTCCTGTTAGCAAATTATCAAACCAGGGAGTGGTTCTGGGAACCCCCTGAACTTGCAGGTGGTTTCAGGAGTGAGGGTACTCTGGTGTGGAGAGGACTGGTCCCCTCAACTCTTACAGTTTGGCTAACTGTGGGTAGAGTCCCAGATGGGCCATTTACAACCTGTCTGTCCTTGGATCAGCTACATGAACTTTCTATGCCTCATTTTCTATATTTACACGACACTCACTTGCCCTGCCTACTTAAAAGACTTACAATGACCAAATGAGAAAATACAATGTGAAAATATTCTAAAGACATATCATCACAGAACAGTAATTAAACTTATGGGAATTAAAATGAAAGTAATTTTTAAAAGAAATTCATGAAAACATAGTTGAGGAAAGACGTCAGGCCTCAAACGGCCCAGACCTACCTGGGAGTAACCTGAGTGACGTCGGAGGGGTGTAATATCCTACAGGTGGTGAAGGTGAACGTCAAGTTTGTGCATGACAGACACTTTCCTGGGTTTGAGGCTGCAACTGAAGCAGAGATTTCTAGGGATTCAAACACAACATTGAATGACCAGGTTAATAATGTAAAAAGTTCATTAATACTTATTTATAATACAAGTGTCATCTGTACAAAAATCCCCAAACCTGGAAATAAAAAATATATAAATATTGTAATTAGTATTGACTGGTTTGTATACAGCTGAATCCTTTAATACTTTAAAGCTGTAATTTAAAAGGATTAAAAATAGGTTAGAAACAAGACAAAAAGATACTCTGAAAATTTTTTTTAAATAACCAACAAGCAAGATCTAGTCATTCAATCTTTCTAGTCAAACTGTCTATTCCAGTGGTTCTCAAAGTGTGGTTTACAGGCGTTGTGGGAGTCCACTTTCATAGCAATACTAAGACGCTATCTGCCTTTTTGACTGGGGTGGCATTTGCACTGTTTTCTACTCATAGCATTTTAAAAAAGCCAGATTCACATAAGCATGTCCTTGATGAGGCAGCAAAAATTATTTATTAAATCTTGACTTGAATCTTTTTAATATTCTGTGTGATGAAATGGGAAGTAATCATTAAGCACTCTGCTGCATACCAAGATACCAGAGGAAAAGCACATGTGCAATGAGTTGTAATTTTTCCATGGGACATCATTTTCACTTGAAAGAACAACGAATCGGCAGTAATTCAGACTTGGATAACTGGCAAAAATTTTCTTGAGAATGACTGTCGTGAATCTGTCTATTCAAGAAAAATAGCTGACAATATTTGCTGTCACTGACAAAATTTGAGCTTTCGAATGAAAATGAGATTTTGGAAAACTTGGAGAGCTTGAAAGCTTCCTAATACTAAAAGACTTATCTGATGAGACAGATGGTGATATTTATGTGATTTTAATATATCACATAATGAAATGTGTCAACATTTGGAGGATCTGCATAACTCAGTGAACCAATGTCCTCTGAATGATCAATGCATGATGCAAAAAATCATGCATAAGGAAAAATGCATTCAAAGTGTAGGACACACCAATAGATTTTAATGTAACGAAGTATAAAAGTTCACTGATACATTTCAGATACCATATTGCTACAAACCTTGAACTACCACTTATCAAATTTTGGTGTAAAATCAAAGAATATCCGCAAATACCTGTAGAGGCTTTTAAATTCTCTTTCCTTTTCCAACTACATATGTGTGAGGCTGCATTTTTTTTGCACTCTTCAACCAAAACAATAAAATATAATAAACTAAATGTGAACGCTGATATGAGAATTTATCTTCTATTAAACCATAAATAAAAGATTTGCAAAATTATAAAACAAAACCATTCTTCCCACTACTTAAAATGTAGCTATTGTTCATAAAACATATTGTTAACATGAAATTGTTTTTAAATTAGTTAATACTTGACTGAATTGATCTCTCTCTCTCCCCAAATCTAATTATGTTGGCTGGCTAAGATAAAGTAGAATTAGAAGGGCCACTAAATGCTATAAGTTTTTATTATATTGCTAGAGGCCCGGTGCACAAAAATTTGTGCACTCCGGGGAGGAGGGGGGGGGTCCCTCAGCCCGACCTGTGCCCTCTAAAGTCTGGGACCCCTCGGGAGAGAACGGCCTGCTGGCTTAGGCCTGCTCCCAGGTGGCAGAGGGCAGGCCCAATCCCTAGGTGTAGCCCCTGGTCGGGCTCAGAGCAGGGCCGATTGGGGAGTTGGGGCACTGCCCCCGTCATGCACAAAGCAGGGCGGATTGGGAGGTTGCGATGCCACCCTCAGTCACGCTCAGGGTAGGGTCGATTGGGGGGTTGGGGCACCGCCCCGTCACACTCAAGGCAGGGTCGATGGGGAGGTTGCGGCGCCACCCCGTCATGCAAAGAGCAGGGCCAATCAGGAGGTTGGGGCGCTGCCCCTGTCACGCACACAGCAGGGCCCATCGGGGGGTTGGGGCTCTGTACCGTCATGCACAGAGCAGGGCCCATCAGGGGGTGGGGCACCGCCTGCTATCACCCACAGAGTAGGGCCGATCAGGGGGTGGGGGCCCCGCCACTCTCACACTCAGGGCAGGGCCGATGGGGAGGTTATGGCTCCACCCCGTCACACACAGAGCCGCAGGGCGATCAGGGGGTTTGGGCGCTGCCCCGTCACGCTGATCCTGGTGCCAGGAGGCCTTGTGGCTCCGCTGATCCCGGTCCTGGGAGGCATATTACCCTTTTACTATATAGGGTAGAGGCCTGGTGCATGGGGGGGGCCGGCTGGTTTGCCCTGAAGGGTGTCCTGGATCAGGGTGGGGGTCCCCATTGGGGTGACTGGCCAGCCTGGGTGAGGGGATGATGGCTGTTTGCAGCTGGTCACACACCCTTCAGGGTGGGGGTCCCTACTGGGGTGCCTGGCTAGTCTGGGTGAGGGGCTGAGGGCTGTTTTCAGGCTGGGGGTGACTGAAACTCCCAACTGCTCCTTTTTTTTTTTTTTCTGGGCCAGCTTTAGCTTTGAGGCTTGGCTCCAGCTCTTAGGCCTCTGCGGCTGAAAGTAGGTTTCTGGCCTTTGCTTACAATGTTGCAATCATGCTGGCTGAAGTCCGGTGGTATTTGTTACAGAGTTTCTTAAACTGCAGGCTCAGAGGCCTGCAGCTGCAGGCGGGGAACATTGGTTTCCTCCGTCACTGAGGCAAGCAAGCCTCATGTTAGTTTCAAGCTGCCTGGCTGCTGGCCGCCATCTTGGCTGACAGTTAATTTGCATATCTTGCTGATTAGCCAATGAAAAGGGTAGCGGTCATACGCGAATTACCGTGTTTCTCTTTTATTAGTGTAGATGTTACAAGACTAAGCACACTACAGTGAAACTGAAATAGCGCTAGTCAGCTGACCGTAAGTAAGTCAGGATGCAAAGTTACTAGACTATATTCAACCAAGCACTCTTCTCACCTGTAACTGGACCACCTGCTGAAGTAACAGGCGGTAGAAAGATTCCTGTTACTGGCTTGGGATCTGTAGGTTTCTGTTCCACTTGAAGAGGTTGCTGGACCTGAAAAGTGATACCTTCTTCTTCATCCTCTTCTAAATCTGAGAGGTGATAGACGGCATCCTTGGGCAACTGGGTAAAGCCTTTAGTGATGACACCGGGTCGTGAGTCAAGAATGGTTCCTAAGTTTGGCTGAGCAAGCTGCTGCCAGTGGTGCAGAGTTTGTGATCCTGAATATGCAAGACAAAAATAAAAAGGCATGTTGTATATTTCTCACAAATAATAAATCTTGAAGCAGAAGCTAAAATTACATGTGTAAAGAAAAAGAACGACTTATTTAATCTTAATATTTGGTAAAATTTGCATATTAAAGTCCTCTGTGGAAGAATGACAAGTTGCTGAAGATACAAATAATAACCTTTCTATTTCAAAAGTTAACTTTAAAAAGGAGATCTAAAGGCAACGGACCTAAATAGATACTTTTCGAAAGAGGACATAAAGGCCAAGAGACATATGAAAACATGCTCAAAGTCACTAATCATCCGAGAGATGCAAATCAAAACAGCAATGAGGTGCCATCTCACACCTGTCAGAGTAACTACCATCAACAAATCAACAAACAGCAAGTGCTGGAGAGGATGTGGAGAAAAAGAAACCCTCGTGTGCTGCTGGTGGGAATGCAGACTGGTGCAGCCACTGAGGAGAACAGTCTGGAGTTTCCTCAAAAAACTAAAAATGGAACTGCCATTTGACCCAGTGATCCCACTTCGAAGAATATATCCCAAGAAACCAGAAACACCCATCAGAAAGGATATATGCACCCATATGTTCATAGCACCACGATTTACAATATATACCCCTGGTTCCTGTCTATGAGTCCTAGTGAATGATTACCCCAAGCATTTGCATAACATATCATGTCTAATTATGACACTACAGTCATTTCATCCTAAAAACGGCAACTCTGACAAATGTGTGCATTGATCATTAGTGAATGAAACTGACATTGAGTTTGAGGGCGTCCTCATAGGTTTCCTACTAAAAGTTTTTTCTAACACAGACTCTCTTATGATAATAAGAGAATCATTTGAAGACTGTCAATTTCCTATAAAACAAGTAATTTATTTTTAATTCAAGTTCTATCTTAGGAGAGAACAGTAACAACTAAAATTAACAGAACTGAAAAAGAAAAATAGAGGGACATATACCTCTAAGTAGATGATATTCTTGGGTAAAGAACTCTTTTTTGAAAAGAAAAGTAGAGATGAAGTATTATATCTAGATTATTTTTACTTATCATATCCCATTTATCTTACCATAAAAATTACCACCAACAGTATTCCTTAGGAAAGGACAAGAAAAGATTAATCTTCCTCCATCACATTTATATTAAAAAAATAACCAGTGAAAATAAAACTAATGGCTGATGACCTGGAGCATGCAGATCTCTTCATTCATTTCCCACAAAGCACTACAAAGCACTGTCACCCAAACAGTGGTATTCAGGGACAATAAAGACATCTTCTGCACACAGTGCTCTTACCATGACAATACGAATCGCAACCTAGGACAAGGAAAGGCCAACAAGGAACACGGCTTAAAGATGGCCTTTACTCACTTATTACCTTCAAGGGGCTTGACAATTTGTAATTTTTCAGGCATAAAACACCGAAGGCAGCTGGTACTGCTGAAGTCCGTGGTCTCTGACTGGTCAGTGCAGAGAGAGGCAAGGCTCTCGGTGGGGGTGCCACAGCCACTAACCCCTTCTTTCTGGTCAGCCAGGACCTGGATCTTCCGCTCCCATTCTTCGGCAAAGAACTGCTTCTCACTTAAGTAGTTTTGTCGCCGCAGACTAAGGCGATGCAGTGCTGTAGCCAAATCACTGTCTTCAGAGGGTTCTGGTTGATCCAGCTTCTGAACGTTCCTATGGGAAAATCACATTCACTGACTAGGTCTGTGAGGGTCACGATCACCACCTAGCCCTCTCCTTTCCGCAATGGTGAATGTTCAAAGACTGATCTTAAAAACACAGTAGTTTCTCTTAGATATCTAGAATACAGAAATAGTAACAACACACCAAAATCATTAGTACTATATATTATTTTTATACATAAAAACAGTGACTTCAAGTAAACAAAAATATACTTTGTTATTACATTGTTTTCTACCCTTTCTATTTCACTTGATATACAAAACTATAGAAATGACCATCTATAAATTCAGTTTAGGTAGTAAGTATAAAAAGTAAATATTATCATATTTCATGAATCTATAATACCACTGATTACAAAAGGCACCATTATTTTATGTGCTACTAAGAAAGAAAAAATGCTACTCCTTAAACTATGAGATGCAAAAAATAAACAAATTCAAAAATATTAAATTATGAAAAAAAATTGCTTTAGGTCATAGAACTCTCTATGAACATTACAGAATATTTAAAGAGCAAACAAGATTTATAAATACTGCATTTTCATAGTTTTATGACATATTTTTTCACTTTTCACCAATTTTAAAATTAGAGGCATCTTTTTTTAAAAAAATATATATTTTATTGCTTTCTACAGAGAGGAAGGGAGAGGGACAGAGTCAGAAACATCGATGAGAGAGAAACATCGATCAGCTGCCACCTGCACACCCCCTACTGGGGATGTGCCCGCAACCAAGGCACATGCCCCTGACTGGAATCGAACCTGTGACCCTTCAGTCCGAAGGCTGACGCTATATCCACTGAGCAAAACCAGTCAGGGCTAGAGGCATCTTATAATTGAAATCAAAAGAAAGAGTAGCAAGCTGAGTTGTAGTTGCTCCTGGTACTATGGTGAATTCACATAGATCTGTTTGTTCAGTCTTCTAAGGTAAGGTACTATTCACACATAAAGCTACTGTGGGTGCAGAGCATGCTCACTACCGACCAGGCAATAAAATAAAAAACCCAGAGTACTGTAACGGTTGCTGCATTAGAGAAGTTTTTTCTCAGGTGCCAAACATCTATCTGTCAAAAACTTTCAGCTGAGCTCTAGCCAGTTTGGCGTAGCGGACCAAAGGGCACCGGGTTCAATTCCATTCAAGGGCATGTACTTTGGTTGCAGGCTCCTCCCCGGCCTGGGCCCTCATCAGGGCTCCTGCAGGAGACAACCAATCGATGTGTTTCTCTCACTTCGATGTTTCTCTCTGTCTTTCCCTCTCTTTTCCACTCTCCCTAAAAATCAATGGAAAAATATCCTCCAATGAGGATTAATTAAAAAAAAAGACACACACAAAAAACCCAAACAAAAAAAGCTTTCAGCTGACTGCCCAGTAATGTTAATTTTCTAGTTCTATGTAATTCAATGAACGGAATTACATATTTAGTTCAATGGAAAGTGGAAAAGATATAAGTTTAAACAACTATGAAATTAAGAGCAAGCTAGTTTTCCTCAATAGGTATTCATACTTATTGTTTATTCTAAAGGCACCAAAGCAGGTGAGATTATGAGCATGGGTTATGAGAAAGGGTCATCTGATACTATGTATAACTGCTAGTGACCAAACACATTAAAACAAATTTGAATTGAACAGGAAGATTTAGACTCAAACTGGATGCATGTTCCATTTTGAATATATTTAATTAAATGTAGCTTTTTCACTCTAAAAAACTTGTTTGCTATCAGTGATCAGTTTTACAAACAATGATATGCGGCATCATTACTGAATGAAAGGGACAGTTCTAGAACTTCCTTGGGACAGCACAGAGCAATGCTGAAATGTGTGCATGTGAATCTGTTATGTCAATGCCACAAGAAATGCAGAATCACTGCCACAATCTGTTTCTTACCCTGGACCGTCCTCCGAGCTGCTCCTCTGGCTCAGGAGGGTTTTTTGCACTGTTTGTTGTAAACCAGACTCAAAAGGTTTTGCTGTCATGATGACACTTGAGCGGTTGGAGCCTGGAATGGATGGGAGAGCTGGGAATGGGACAGTGCAGCCCCGTGTGTCATTGGCAATCCTGACCGTATCAAATACCCGTTTCAGTTGCGCCCTGTCAAAAGAGAAGTGTTCATTATCACTCCCTACTGCTGGGGTGCTTCAAAAAAGAGACATCCTTTATAATAAAAGGCTAATATGCAAATAGACCGAATGGCAGAACAACCAAACAACTGGTTGCTATGACCATGTGCTGACCACCAGGGGGCGCACACGGAACATGACGGGCGTCAGCAGCAGGCGGCAGAGTGCAGACCATGGCGGGCGTTGGCCGTGGCGGGATGGTGGAGCAGGTGAGCAGGGGGCGCCAGACCAAGGCAGGGCGCCGGTCACTGTCATGGGACGAGCCTCTGGTGGTTACTGAAAATTCTTTGCTCCCATACTCCACGGTCCTGCCCGGCACTTGCACCTGCTGCCAGCGCCGGCCCCGGCCCCACTCACACCTGCTGCTGGCACTGGCCGGTGCCATCAGCGTGTGGGAGCAACAGCGGCGGGAGCTGTGCTGCCGGCAGACAGGAGGCCGTGGTGGGAGGGGCTGGGTGGGGGCATGGAGGATGGGCCAAGACCCACCCCTGTGCCCACCACAGCCTCGTGGCCCACAGTTCCTCTCAAGGTACACGAATTTGTGCACTGGGTCCCTGGTATAGGTATAATTCATTAAAAATAAAGCCATCCTGAAGAGCCTTTAAAGTTGAGGAGAGGTCATGAGAAAATAAACGTCAGAACACGGAACTCTCTCACAAACGTGAGTAGTAAGAGGAAAAAATGGAAAAGTAAGCAGATTTACTACTGAATCTCCTTATACCTATCACTCTGGATTGTGGCTTCTTTTAAATTTCCATCCTGACAGTTGAGTAACAGCACACGTATGTGATCTGTACTTACTTTTGTTTAAAGAGAGACGATTCCTCATCCAAACTCAACTTTTTACGCATGGTCCCCTCAATCTCAGATGCCAGAGATTCCTAAGGAAAAGAGTTTGAGATTCCTATAGTAATTAAGAAGCCTGCTAGGAGAAATGGATTGTTCTTAAATTAATTAACAGAGTCTCCAGAATCCAGTACTTTGGTGTTATAAGAAAATACAGAAAAAAAGAGACATTCTGGAAATGTAACTTTTAAACAAGAACCAATTACTTTTTCAGGAAAGCAGTGGCAAAAACCAATATGATAAATACAAAACATTATATATGCAGACACACAAAAATTAAGGGTATAAAAGGCTATAAACTAAGTTGTTAATAGTGATTCTGTGGAGGGCAATATTTGAAGGTATTTAAGAATTTCTTTTGGCTTCTTTTTCTATATTATAAAAACATGTACAGTTTTTATAATATAGAAAAATCATTAAAAAAAAAAAAAGCAATGGTAAGTGGGTGTAGTGGGCCTAGGGCAGCCGTGGGCAAACTACGGCCCGTGGGCCGGATCCGGCCCGTTTGAAATGAATAAAACTATTGAAAAAAAAGACTGTACCCTTTTATGTAATGATGTTTACTTTGAATTTATATTCGTTCACAAAAATACTCCATCCATGCTTTTGTTCCGGCCCTCCGGTCCAGTTTAAGAACCCATTGTGGCCCTCGAGTCAAAAAGTTTGCCCACCCCTGGCCTAGGGTAAGGATGACCCAAGGTTAAGTAGCTCTACGGTACACAGACCCAAAACTGATTTCCCTTGGGTTCACTTCATATGCATGTTACAGTAAATCTGGGTGGTCATCTGTTAGAGGAAGGCTAGAATAAATAAGAGTATTAAGGTAGATGTAGATATGCAAATTAAGGCCTAAATCAAAGGACAATCCATGTTATCACTTCTTAGATGCTTTACGTCATCAGAAACTACCACTTTCAGGACAATCTAATCTTAAACAAGTTTCCTTAAATACATAACATCTTTCTCAGTTCCTTACCCCAGAAAAAGCTCCATATGATTGGGAATAGAGGAGAGCAGCAGGGCCAGATCTACTACGAAGTTCCTTTATTTCTTCTTGGGATTCATGTAACATTCCTAGACACTCCATATTCCTGTCTTGTAATTCATGTAACTGAAAGAAAGAATGGTAATTAGTGTATTCTATTGTATTCTAACTAGAGGCCCAGTGCACGGATTCGTGCACTGATGGGTTACCTCAGCATGGCCTGTGGGGATCGGGCCAAAACTGACAGTCCAACACTGCCTGCCACTCCCGCTCATCCTGGCCCTGCTGAGCCTGCCACAGGCTCTTGCCCAGTCAGTCCCTATCGGGAGAGGTGAGCGCCGCTTCTGCAGTGGCACTTACCAGCTGTGAGCCCTGCATCTGGCGCCCATCAGTCAGCTGAGTGGCGCTTGAGCTGTGGGAGCACACTGACCACCAGGGGGCAGCTCCTGCGTTAAGCAACTGCCCCCTGGTGGTCAGTGCATGTCATAGCGACCAGTCAACTAGTTGTTCGGTTGCTTAGGCTTTTAGAGATATAGATTCGGCAAGGGGGAGGAAACTTTGGGATAAGTATTCATTTTATCCAGAGGTCTAAGTTTATGAATATAATTCATTTTGATACAAAGACTCTGGAATAAATTAAGTAAGGAGAATACATATCTATTTCAAACTGCCAGAAGTAGAAGTGTCTTGGCCAGAATTATACATAAACATGATTTCTTAAAAAACTGAAATAGCCCTGACCGGTTTGGCTCAGTGGATAGAGCATCGGACTACAGACTTAAGGGTCTCAGGTTCGATTCCAGTCAGGGGCATGTACCTTGGTTGTGGGCACATCCCCAGTAGGGGGTGTGCAGAAGGCAGCTGATCGATGTTTCTCTCTTATTGATGTTTCTAACTCTCTATCCCTCTCCCTTCCTCTCTATAAAAAATCAATAAAATATGTATTTAAGAAAAATCTGAAATATAGCTGAGAAAACCATAACTGTCAATTCAATATTTAATACTTCATCCCCTTAAAAAAAACTTAGAGGAAATATAATTGTCATGTTCAAGTCAGATTTAGCATACAGTTATATTTTTAAACATCATTCTGAAGTCTGTAAATGACAAGATCAAGTCTACCCAGTATAATATTTGATGTCAGTGTGCTCAATTATCCTAAACAAGTAGCTTCTTCTCCCTTGTTTCAGAACCGTCTTTATTGTAGATTCACAAGCATGTTAAAAGAGTACACACTTTTCAGAGTGCATTTTAACTTCAAAAATTTCTTAAATGTAGTATGTAGACTGTATATTAGCATCATCAGGGTTGGGAATGCTTATTAAAAATGCAGATTCTAGGCCCTCAGTCTAGACCTACTAACTTAGAAACTTTCAGGGATGGTGCTTGGAATCTCCACTAAAACTCAGCCTGCCAGGTGACTCTTATGCTTGCTAAAGAGCCACTAAATTATATCTAATATATAGTTTTTATGTAGATACCAAGTTAGAGATTTTTGCTATTTCTCCTGACATTTTAAAAACTGTTGGCCCTGACTGGTTTGGCTCAGTGGATAGAGCGTCGGCCTACAGACTCAAGGGTCCCAGGTTCGATTCTGGTCAAGGGCATGTACCTTGGTTGCGGGCACATCCCCAGTAGGGGGTGTGCAGGAGGCAGCTGATAGATGTTTCTCTCTCATCGATGTTTCTAACTCTCTATCCCTCTCCCTTCCTCTCTGTAAAAAATCAATAAAAAAACAAAAAAACAAAACTGTTGTGGTAGCTAAGGTAAACTGGTAAAAGGGTCACATATTCCTAAAGAATCTTATAAAAGTCAAGGTTTTCCCCATGAATCAATAGGATGTTGCCATGTTATTAGTTTTAGAGAGGTAATTTTTTAGATGCTTTACTTCTTAGCTCTCATCTTGATCCTCTGTTATTGTTATTTTAAATCTTATTTACAAAGATGAAAGAAGCTAATCCTTCCTCCCCGTCCTGTATCACACAAGATAAAGAAAGATTTCATTACCTCCAATGTCAGTTGTCTTTGGGCATCTTTGGAAGCTTGCAGGTGCAGTCTCAGTTCTTCCTTCTCAATCACATGCTAACAACATATTAAAGAGACATGTGAAGCCTTCCCATATAAAATAGAGGCTACTCTCTTTAAGACATCTTAAGGGCATAGTCTATGTAGAGATCTCTAAAAAGCTCACCTTCCAAAAGCCAAATAAGAGCAATATCATGGGCAAAATACAAAATCCACAAAGGTGTTCAGAGGACAATGAGCACGAGACAATAACTCATATCACGCCGTTCTGAGGAAGATCTGACCCATTATACTGTAACCAACCCCAACATTCTTTTAACGTTATTTCTGTAATTGATGACCTGTTAACTAATACGTGACTGCAGATAAACAGTCTGCTTGCCTAAGAATTCTAGGAACTAACTTCAAAAGAAGCAGACTCTGACCTTCAGACATTCCAGCTTCAGGAGAATTGCTGACCTTCAACCAGTTATCTGAACAGGTTGTTGACTTGCTCGGAGAACTCTCAACCCCTTCATTTTGATTGTTCGGTTGTGTGGTTTTTTCCCTTCCTCCTCCCTCCTTACAAAAACCTCTGCCTGTGTCCAATTGTTAAGACAGCCTTGGTGACAGGAGTCCACCATCTTCTCAGGCAGCCGGCTCTTGAATAAACCTACCTTCCTTCTACCAGCCCATCTCTAGATTATTGGTTTTTGAGCGGCAGGCGGCAGACCTGGGTTCAGTATCATTTGAGAGAGAAACAGTGACTTGAAAGTAGTTACTCACGCTTCCTGACCCAGAGCAGACCAAAGCAATCATCAGTTTACAGGGACCGTGTTTATTTCGCTTCATCTAGTACTTAGCGCAGTGCATGGTGCCAGGTCAGTGCTAACAAACATCTGGTGAATGAAAAAATGAACTTACTTCTTTAAGTTTGTGCTGAAGATCTACAATTTGAGACAAGAGAGAGGAGATCTCTTCTTGATATCGTATCAGTTCATCACTCTTCCCAGACAATTCCTCAGTCATTTTGGACATCTGAGCATTTGTTTCACCTTAGAAACAAATAAGAATTTTAAAAATTAATATAACTGAAGGGTAGGGGTTGGCAAACTATGACTGTGGGTCAAATCTTGTTTTGTAACAAGCACTGGACTATCACAAATACAATGTTCTTTAACATAAATTTAAAAAATAAAGATTCTTCTGAAATAAAAGCTAATCTTAGGAATTGAATATGAGGCAATGATGACTTGTAAAGGCAAGCTAAAGGTTTTGCTTTAATCTTTTTCATTATGAAGAACAAGTAGACTGAAAAGATATAGGTGAATTACATATCTTTGCAAGTGTCAAGACATAATCTCATTTATGTCTTTGAGAACTCTTCAGGAATGTAAATAAACTTCCACAAACAATGAAAATTAAACTTAAGAAATCTAACACAGGACATTTCCAGAATGGAACAGTTACAATCTGTTAAACCTACTGATAAAGCTACTGGGATGCTTCTGTAGGAGAGAGACTTTCTGGGATATGTGGCAAACTGAGCAGAGCCTCTAAAAGCCATTTTTACAGCCTAGCACTCTTGAATGCACATGAAATAGAATCTTTCCATTGGGGAAATAAATCTTTACTTCAAATAAAAACTTTGATATCTAAACACAAGTGACAGAACCATGTATCAGTGTCATATAAAACTATTTCTTAATTGACAGAACCCCTATAACATTTCATAGGATGGCAACAAGAAGGAAGGAGACATGGATCTGACTTCTTGGGCAAGTAATCACTTCTTTGTTTTTTAAAGTTTAAAAGGTGGGTAATGATAGTGCTGATGGAGAAGATTCAATTTACATTGCTTCTGGTTCTCTAATATTCTGTTACTCTAAGTTACCACATTCTGAGGCCCACAGCCCAAATAAACTGAAGTGATGTTACGTTTCTCTTTCAATGTGACAGGCTTTATATTAGTAGAGAAATTAAATATCTTTCTCTAGTAAAGCTGATCTTTTCCCAAGTAACTTATTTTAAAAACTATTTTAGTTAACACTACATCAAACCAAAATATATTCCTTTATAGACACATGGTTGGCACTTAATAAATTACTCACTGAATGTCAGACCAGGCTCTGCCACAGATCTATCGTTTTCTGACTGACAAATCACATTCTCTACAGGACTATTTTCTCATCAACCAAATAAGAGCTCTGGTTTCTTTCATTCTAACATGCTATAACTGATAGAAATATAGATCTTATTCAGTGAAGATGGCAATTGAAACAAAGATACTTCTGAAAAGTATATATGTTATTTTATTTAGAGTTGTACGTTAATGTGATATTCTAAGATCTTCAGTAATTTATTTAATAGTGTTTCTTGAGATGTTTCTACTGAAACCTTCGATCTAATTTCTGAGTTGGAGATATCCTACCAAAGAACTGCCCAAAGGCAAACAGAATATGTTAATACTTACGAAGTTCTTTAACACAGTCACTGACAAGCTGTTGCTCCTTCTCTTCATAGCTAATAGTTTCTGTCTTTATGTGACAAGCCTTCAAGAAAAAAAAAATAGTGATATCTTCTAATTATTTTACAGTATTAACTAAAAAAATTCTCATTTGAACATAAAAGTTGATCACTTACAAAGGAAAACAACAACTCATAAACCTTTATCTACCATAAAATAAAGTATGGAAAAGGATGTTTCAAACATCTTACTCATTCTCTCTGTCTCTGTAAATGCCTCCTCACCCCTCCAGCCCCTTCCCCCCACCCCTGCCCCGCTCCCATACATTTCTGCCTGACTAATCCCTAGCCTCAGCTAAAATATCGCTTGCTTAAGTAGGACTTCTTTGATTCCCCCCTCCATCACACAAGCTCACAGAACCTTGTAATTTTCCAACATAAACTCCACAAGGTACATATTCTATGCTGTGGCTTTCTCATCTGTCAGCTTGCTATTATCCACTTCTCAGTGGGATCTAAGAAACAAGGAAAGGAAAAGAAATACAAGCGTCTTGGCTGCACTCCCTAATTAGAATGTCAACAGCAAATCCTTAGTTATGCCACATTTCAACTCAACTCTACCTGGGTTTAAACCTACAACCTTTAAGTTAACAAAACTGGGAACTGGGTTGAATGTACCTTGGACCGAAGAGCCATATTCTCTTCCTCCAGTTCCTTGAGCTTTTCTTGCAGCATGTCCAACTGTAGCAAGCCCTGAGATAAGTTGAAGGACTCATTGAACCGAAGAGGTGTGGAACAGCTGGAATCGGTCTCACTCTCTTCCGAAGCAATGGAGACAATTCGAAGTAACTCATCTTTCTTGGATAGCTCATGCTGCAGTTGATTGACCTGCACAGCAAAAGAGCTAGATTTACAAGATGTCCTTTATTTTGTATTATTTAATATAACATATGTAATATAACTTCTAATTCATTGAGCAATTACTCCTCATCATAAAACAAAATAATGTAATTAGCTGCTAGATTTACTCACTAAAGTAGCAAGTGCTAAAAAGAAAATAATAAACCTCAGATACTTCCCAAACTATAATTTTACAGCATTAACTCAACAAATATAGCTTTTTCTATACTAGATGAGAAGGAAAGCCAATTTTTACATTCTATATAATAGAAATATAGGAGGAAATTTTTCACAGTTGAAAACAAAACAAAACTGAAGGAATTTCAAACTATAAGAATGGATCCCTACTTTCAAATTCTTATCCTAAAGTTTTGTACTTTAAAACTGTATAACTCTGCATGATTTCCTAACTAGTCCTAGGAAATATATTCAACATAAAGGCTCAAATGTTATTAAATATAATGCGTTTATAAAATGTAAGTAAAACTAGATAAAAATAACAAATTACAGAAAACTTGAAATTTAACCATTCAAATTAATAATAAAGCGGTTCTCACTAAAAATATTCACTGCTTAGGAATAAATAAACTTTCAAAATGTCTTTTCCTTTTCCTTTTGTTTGGGTTTTTGACTGGAGATACTTCATTTGGGTATCTATTATTTGGGGCTGAATTTTTTTAAAACTAAAGTTATAGATGACACACAAAGGGGCGAGGAAAAAAGCGTTAGAATTTAAGTACTACAAGGCACTGAATATAGGCTTTTATATGGACCAAGGCAGACTCACACAACCACTCCTCTGTAAGGTACTTTTCATTTCTCTACTAGCTAGTTCAATGGTTACCAACGAAGTCCACATGTACTGGTGTTATTTACCTACTTATTGTCATCAATTCAGGGTTACCCAGGAAAATAAATTCCTCCACAGCCCAAGACCTAAACACTTTACGCTGCAAATACTTGATCAAAGACTTACTTGGTCAAAAGCTTGTCCCAACTGCTCCTCCAGGGCTTCATTCTGCTCAGCCAACACATGATTCCGCTTTAAGAGAGCCTGTCCAATGCGAGCAGCTAGCTCCAGATCACGATCCCTCTGTTAAAATACAAAAACACTTTTCTTTGAGCAACATTACATGGTAGGTTAGAGTTTTGCAGTCAATTTTGCTAAATAAACACAAAAAGCAACATTCTAGAAAGTATTTTAACACCCAGATACCAAATAAACACAGGGCCTGGCACACAGGTGATGTTTAAAATATGTTGGTCAAATGGATGACCACCACAGTTATAAATGCAAGAGGGCATTTTTCCCCCTGATATCAAGTGAAATTTATTGATTACTCAACCCTATTAATTAGGATCCATCGACCTAACCTTTACGCTTACAACTTTGGGGAATTAGAAAATCAATGCAGTCTTCAAAACTGAGGACAGGGCCTGGCACACAATAAAGGCCCAACAAATGCATCTGTCTATCAAGCATGGTAATGAGGCAGAATTTGGTATTTAAGACATGAGGATTAGGTCGGTATGCTGAAAAGTGTTATTTAGAGCAAAGCTTATATGCCCTGAGAGCCAGGGGCTTAGAGGAAAGCACAGTCAAGAGCTCTACTGTCAATTGGTGCAAGAATGATGATGTGAAATAAAGTAGGGGATAAAGGACTGGACGTTTTGAAGTACAAGGTTCTGTTTAAAGTGTAGAAAAAAAGAGAGTCAAAGAAGCTGGTGGTAATGATGCAGGCATGCCTAGAGAAAAGCCAAGCAAAGCAAGAGTTACTCTTCCTGGGTACATGGTGATAGTTAGAACACAGAAAACTTGTCTACATGGTGGTGGTGAGGACTGTATTCTATAGGATGAAAACCTGTCAATAAACATATAACTACCTTATATATGAGTATGGGCTCTGCTTACAGTAACCACTATAAATAAAATTAAGCTTCTACTATTTTGCTCCATAATACATGACAACAGGTGGATGGCTTATTCCCAGATTTTCAAGGCCCACTTATCTCATTGTCAACGTAAGCTAAGTTGCATACACAGAATCGTTCTGGGGAGCTGGGGGAGGGGAGAAGGGGTACTTCAAAGAGAAAGACAGTCTTCCATAAGATCAACTGAAACTGAAGTGTAAGGAGACACCTCTACGACTGCCAAGTGGGAAAGGTACACCACACATATTAAAAATGTCATGGACAAAGTGAGCTAAAAAACAGCCCAAACTGAGAGTAAAACTCTTTGGGAAGATGCTCCAAGCTGCAGGAGTAGATTTGCAAGGGATCTGTCTCTTGAATAGGCAGTTCTGCTCCAGGCTGAGTTAATTTTTTTTTTTTTTTAGGACAGGGAGGCCAGCCAGCACCATTGTAATAAAAAGCAAAGCAGACAAACAAAGCCCCCTAAACCTTCTATAATTTCATAACAATTAAGTTCAGAAACCATTCTGCTTTGGAATGCCAGATGGTATGCCAGTTGTTCCAACTGTAACAACCTTATAAATTAACCCAAAACAAAGACATCATCATTTTTCATTTGATATAAAAACTTGATAGATTCCAAATGATCTTTAGGTTTTAGTTTTTTGTACTGGCAAAAGAAAAAGATATATTCCTACCTCTGCTAGGAGATGTGTAACCATGTCGATGTCATTGTAAGTTTTGGTCATCTGCTCCACCCTGTCTGTGCCTAGAACTAAGGTAGGATTTAGAAATAGAAGATAATTTTAGCTATTCATAAGAAACGAAAGATGACAACAACAAAGCCAGGCTTTTACAAGCCATTTAAGAGAATAAAAATACATGTGAGAAAAAGGGGAAGGAGATGTTTCATGTGCTAGACAATCTGTAAATAGCTTCATTATTACAAACGAACATACATCATACAATAAATTAAGAAAGTATCAAATGATCACAAGGCAGTCACTTCCTATCTCCTCCTTCCTTGGTAAGATTAGAACTTTGGCTCACTCATACTACAGAAAGTGTGCTGGGAGAATGTATTAAATCACCAAATGTTTTACATCCTAATCTAAATTGAAGTCACTGAGGGTTAGTTAGTGAGAAGTTATACTGTTACAAAGGAATTCAATTAGAATTCTCTTGTAATTATCTTGAATATCATCACCTATTATTGTGAGTTAATCTCCTATATAATAAAGAGGTAATATGCAAATTAACCCTGACACCCTTACAAGATGGCTGCCTACGACCAGGTTGGCAAGGGGGTTAGTGAGGGGTGACCAGGCCAGTGTGAAGAGGCAGTTGGGGGCAACCAGGCCAGTAGGGTGAGATGTTGGGGGCGACCAGGCCGGTAGGGGGGGCAGTAAGGGATGACCAGGCCAGTGGGATGGGCAGTTAGGGGTGACCAGGCCAGCACGCAGAGGCAGAGAGGGGCGATCAGGCTGGCAGGGGGGGCGGGTAGGGGCAACCAGGCAGGCAGGCAGGGGAGGGATTAGGAGACAGTGGGCCAGGATTGTGAGAGGGATGTCCGACTGCCAGTTTAGTTCAATAAACTACCATGTCCTAAACTGGCAGTCAGACATCCCCCAAGGGGTTCCAGATTGGAGAGAGTGCAGGCTGGGCTGAGAGGACTGCCCCCGTGCATGAATTTCATGCACCAGGCCTCCAGTCAATAAATAAGGAATAGGACTTGTAAGACTTTTTGTAGCTTTGTTATGACCATAATCATTTTTAGCTTAATTAAAAACCCATTATGATAATCTTCATATCTAGACTATTGCTATAAAATAAATCTATACTGGAGACCCAGTGCATGAATTCATGCACGGGTGGGGTCCCTCGGCCTGGCCAGCGATCGGGGCCATCTCACCCAGTCCTGACTGGGGCCAGCTGGCTGGGGGAGGGACCACAGGAGGTTGACTGGCTGCAGGAGGTTGGCTGTGGGCGCGCACTGACCACCAGGGGGTGGCTCCTTCATTGAGCATCTGCCCCCTGGTGGTCAGTGCACATCATATAGCGACCAGTCAACCAGTCACATGGTCATAATGGTCGCTTAGGCTTTTATATATATAGTTTATTACCTGCATAATTCAAGCCCAGTATTTCTGCACCTAATAAACTCAGAAACTGTCAATGCACTTGGGTAATTTTGCTCCAAAGAGAAGGACAAACATGACTCCAGTGACTCCATAGTCATAATAAGCAATATCTTTTTCAGCTGAAAACGATGCATAATACAAAAGGAATTGAAGTACACTTTGGTGTGTACTACATGATACAGATTTATGTTTGACTTAGGTTTTTATAATTACTTTGTCTTGAAGAAATAAAAAAACCAGAGACTTTGGAGCAGAAAAGCTTGAGTGAGCTTGAACAAGTCACTTAACCCTTCTGAGATTCAGATTCTGTATTTATAATATGGAGGCCATACATTCTTTGCACAAGGTCATTAGGAAAGGGGCCATTAGACATGGTTATTATATCTGAGCTTGTAATTTTCCTTCCTAGCATCATTGCTTAAAATGAATCTGAGAATTACTCAGACCTTAATTATTAATGATAATCTTATTCCTAGTTAAAAGTAAAACAAAGTGCTGTGTTGATATTAGAAGATAGCTAAAAAAAGGAGTTTTAAACTGAATATAAGAAAACTTAAAAGAAGAAAAACTATCCAAAACAAAAACTAAAAAGAAACATTTTCACTTGAAAAGAATTTATATTTACAAGTAGAAAAAGTGACTCCATAATTTAACCACAGGATTAAGGAAAACAGGCTTTTGGGTTTAAGAAATCTTCACAATTTGGTAGCTTATTGGCACTAATAGAAATTCCTTCCTTGTCCTATATACTAAAAGCCTAATACGCAAATTGTCCCCTTGACTGGGAGTTCGGCCAGGAGTTCAACCAGGGGGCGGGGCCGCTGGTGGCTGGAGGCCAGGGGAAGGGAGGTGCCCTGGCCAGCAGCTGGCAGCCTCTAGGGACCCTACCTGTGCACGAATTTCATGCACTGGGCCGCTAGTATTCATATAATTACCTCCCTTCTCTTTCTCATAAAAACCCCTTGCCTTCACCCCATAATCAGAACACTATTTGGGTTTCTGCTTGAATCAGTGCTTCCTAAACAGCTATTTTTTGTGATCTCAAATAAATGCCTATTGCCTCTTACCTTGGCCTTTTATTTTTAGAATAATAAGAATCAGTTAAAAACAATTTTATACAATTAAAAATAAACATGACATAGCTCATTTTACATAATTGACCACAGTTGAAAATGAAGTGGCAAATTTAATTTGAAGTAAAGCCAGTAAGTTAAGGATATAACAACAGCTGTGAGCTGCAAGTCACACATGATGAAAGAGGAAGAGAAAATGAAAGACACAGTACTATATAAAACCATCTGTCACTGCTTGAGAATTTAAAGCTGAACTTTAAGAAGTTAATCTCATTTAATGATCTCATTTTCTTGTATGAGGGATCTTGACTGAGAGGAATTACTAGTATATGATGTGTCTAATACCACAAAGCAAGCCATTAGTGGCAAAGCCAGGATAATAATGAGGTGATAACAACCCCAGCTCACAAGGTCAGAAGATAAAACTTGGGTCTGCTCATTCCTAGTATGGAGCTCTAACACCATCCTGCTGCTTCTACCACAGTCCCACCGAGATCAAAAAGCATTTATCTGACGAGGTACTAGAGTATCCACATGTTCTAAAACAGCACAGATCCCAATTCTGTTCTTCAAAGTGTGGGCATTATCTACATATAGGAGAAGCTGGAAGGATATACATTAAACTGTTAATAGTGGCTATCTCTGGGTAGGGATTATAGTTGATCTGTTGTTTTTGTTTCTGTTTTTTGCTAATTTTCCATGAATAAATGTTATCTTTATAATAAAAAAAAAAGTTCTTGTTAAGAGGTTGCAAAAGTAAAATTTAAAATGCTTCAATATGTATTATGGCAAAGAAGTTAGGTAATGCAACCAGAACTTTCCAATTCTTATGTTTTATGTGAAACAGGCTGTATACTACCAAGCCCCAAAGGCTGAGCCAGCTCAATTGCAGAGTTGCTCCACTGATGTCAGTCACAAAGCATATAGGAAGGAACACAGTGGATTCCTCTCTGCAGTCTAATGAGTTCTGTCTTCTCTTCCTTATCACATACTCCTGATAAAGACATGTTGCTTGGGCACAGCTCTTACAAGTTCTCTTGGCATTTAGGCATTGAGATTAAATGCTTCTAAAACCATAGACTATTAACTGTAATTCTCTAACCAGGAATGAAGAGATAGTCAAGCAGGCTGACTTTATTATAATAATTTCTATAAAATCCTACTTTCCCTTCAGTTCTTAGCGGTTAAAATAGAAATTTGTTAAATGGTACAGAAATTAGCAATGCTTCTTGCTTATTTCCAGACATGAACTTCCCTAACCTAATTCTCTGAAATAACAATAATAACAAAACCATATACATCAGGGAGATAATAAAAAAAAATTATTAAGGTACAACTGACATATAGATAAACATTTTTTTTAACAGAACAATTTTGTAACTTGGTTTTGGAAGGTTGTTAATTAATATTCAACATTTTTGGTGTAATATTTAGAGAATTTAATGTTCCTGGAAAAAAAATGGGGTAATATACATAAGCACTTACTTTATTTATTCTGCATTAACTGCCTCAATCTCACATTTTTTTCAGGATGGGAACTACCAATATTAAACTTTGTGTGCATGGTGGGGACTAAGATGGAACTGGTTTGTTGGACCCATTCATTGCTCTCGTGATCTATTTTTAAAGTAAACAACTTCTTTCCAGTTTCCAGTTTGTTTGGTGGAAGCTTGAGAACAACCAGTATCATTTCCCTCATGTGAGATAGACTCCCAACCCAAAACCCATGTTTCCTTCCAAACTGATCTTCTCACAGCTCTTTCAATTTCTTTACATTATGTAAGAGAGAAGGTGCCACTTCTTTATAGTTTGTTAAAATTCATTTTAATGAGCACAGTATCTTCCTGGCAAGTGCAGGAAGTAGGGATAAGGAGAGGCTGAACCCAAGGATGGCTCCCAGGATACATAATTATTTAAAACCACCAATCTTGAAATATCAAGGGGATAGAAAACTGTGGGAAAGGGTAAGAGAATGTTTTGTATCTTGCTTTTTAAAGCCTTAGTCAATTTGCTAAATAAAGTAAATCACTTACCTTTTACATTCATAAGATGAAAATTCATAATAAAAGTTATTTATATTAGAGTGAACTGCTAACCCAAAGAATTGATACCTTTAAAATAACAGTGAAATGAAAGTAAATTACAAAGATAAAGTATTAGTGAGGCAATTATAATCCCAGTTTATTTGCTTCATGAACTCAGGTACATCAACATATAGTATAGAGTTTAATTTTCAAAGTGAAGTAAAAACAGTACCATTCAACTAATGGAGCAGGAGTGTTTCCCAGGATCTGAAGGACAGATCTGTAACATCCCATTAATCTCATTTTAAATGGCTTCCTTGAACATTATGGTTTGTTTTATATAAAGTCCTAAAAACCAAGTATTTAAAAATCTTTCATTTCCCAGGTTAAAAAAAAATTCATCCTAAAAATAACTCCATTAAATCTTTAACCCCTTCCCCGGCAGAAACATGTATACTCGTTTTCACAAAATGTTCTTTTTCAGTCGTCGACAAGTATACTAAGAAAATATGGTAAAAAAATATGGTTTATAGGAAGACGAGTTACAAACTGTTTTCATAACCAGCATCAAAAATACTATATAGAACCAAAATAAAAAAATTAGTCTGAAAAAGAAACGTTTTTAACAAAAAAATTGTTGGGGAAGGGGTTAAGACATCTTTCTAGCTACAGTGCCTCCCTATCCCTCCATGACTTACAGGACAAAGAACATAAACTAAGGGATACTTTCTGTGCCACTTTATCAAAATAATGACAAACTAAATTTATCATGATGAAATTTCAGTTTGAAATTTTCTCACAAATCTAAAAACTCATGGAACAAAGGGAAATGGAAATAAAAAATAGTGCTCCTTTAAAAAAGCATTTTCCAGAAAATCTCAAGCAAGCCACTTCTTAAACTAGAAAGTTAGAAAAACCGTAAGAGCCTTTTTTAATACTCAGCTATTTAAAAAATTTATTGGGGCCAAAAACACAGTCTTATCTGAGTTTCTTGATATTCCAATTCAAGTTTAAAAAATGTTTAGAATTCTTTCTGAGCAGTGAGTAACCTTGTTCCAGGAAACTACTATTAAAAGCAAGTTAATGATTACTATGAAAATGAGTATTTCACAACCATCATTCTCCAGCCACAATCTTTAAAAACACTGAAGCATGGACTAGGAAAATGTCTAGGGTCTAATGCAACCTCATATCTAATTCAAATAAAAAATATTTCACAAACATAATGTGGAGCCTACAGACTTCTATTATATACTAGAGGCCTGGTGCACAAATTCGTGCGTGGGTGGGGTTCCGGTGGGCTGGCCAGGGGAAGGGGACATAGGAGATTTGCCGGCTGGTCCTGCCCCCTGGTTGAACTCCTGCTCATCTGAACTCCTGCCTGAGGGGACAATTTGCATATTAGCCTTTTATTATATAGGAGGATTATAACGGCTATTATATAAATAAAATTTCTATAGGGAATAAGGAAAAAGTAAGCACAGCCTGAATGCAGATCTTTAGAATTTGGTGAAAAGCAAAAAGATTTCCATACTTTAGTTAAAAAAAATATTCTATTTAATTTTGTCATTTCTAAGAGTTTGGTGTAAAACAGACTTACTTTCAAAACAATCTGGTTTAGCCTTTCACTGAAATATTCTCTATGGATTCTTAAGTAAATAATGAAGATTACTACGTAACGTGCACTTATTTTTCCTTGTTATTATTAAAACCACTTATGTGTCCCAAGAACTATGCTTCTTAAAGACTGACATAGTTCCTGTGACTGTGTTTAATAGGGAAGATAAGAGTAAAAAAGCTGAGGGCTTAGGATATCAAACTATTGGGACAGTAAGTGTCAAGAGACATTAAGGAATATTAAATTTTAAATGATTTTGCTACTTTTTAAAAAGTTCCCTTTCTACTCAGTGTGAGAAAATACCAAATAAAAGATGGAAGAAATGGGAACATCTGGATATGCTTGCAACCCTGGACACTCAGAGCCATAAGAGTGACAAACTTTTTGTATTCAGACATAACACATAGAATCATCGCCAAACAATGGCTAGAGTTGTCAAATGTTTTAAAAGCCAATACCAAGATACTCATAATTATTACTTCAATGGACAAACTCTAAAAGGATAAAAAAAAATACTCACTCATATATCGAAAAGTCTCTTCAGCAAGGACTGGAGAGAGGGCGCCAGATGCATGATGCTGCCGGTGTGGGGACCGAGTCCAGTCTTGATTTTCATATAGAAAGAGAGAGTCCACTTTTAGTCTATACTGGGGTAGCTGTTCTTCCAGCAGATTCACCAGCTCAACTTCAGGGAGATCCTCATTGGAGCAGACATCTAAAGAAGAGAGTTCATGTAAATGAATCCAATATATTTCAATTACTAGGCTACAGAAAAAATTCAGTGAAATTCATTTTGTGCAAGTATATATTAGCCAAGATCATTTCTCCACTAATTTTTACTAATATATTCTAGTACTATAGTTGGTCTTTCTCTGGGCTACTTTAATATGAGAACTTCTACAGTAAAAATAATACCACAAATATGTAAAAATATATTGCTTAGTGTATATGTTTTTAAACTTTAAAATAAATGTAGACAAATTTATTATTTCCTCCTTGTTAATCTAGTTAGTGCTGGTTAAAAGAGATCTGATCTCAAAAATGTATAGACTTAAAGGCAGCACAAAACAACTGGCAGAAAGTAGTACTAAAGAAATAAAACTACATCCTCTTTAGTAAAAGAATTTAAACTCTGTTAGAGGATTCTTTAAAATCTGGAAAAATCAGCTAGATATAAAAAAAATTAACACTTACTGGTTAAATATTAACTGTTAACGTTAACATTCCAGCACAGTGTTCTTGCACTGGTTCTGGACTAAGTACTTCATTTTTATTTGAAATATGTGGTACACTGAACTTCCTAAATACTTTTCACATCACTACTCTCACCTGCACACCCTAACTCCCCTACATCATTCATATCTCTGAACTCACCTGGGCTTCTCCGCCTTTGCGTGTTTGTTCCTGGCTTTCTGTCCCAAACACTGCCCATCATTTAACACCTTTCAAATTTAGCCATTTACAAGAAAAGGAAAGTTATCCCTTGTAACATGCTTAAAATATTAGGGCTTAACATAGAGAAAATACAGGATGTCACACCAACCCCCTCACTTTTTTAAGAGATCTAGTATTTCCTTTGTGGGTTATATAAAGAAACATGTCCTAACTCTGGCAAAGAACAAAGTGAAATAACACCCTAAGAGAGTAAATTTCTACTACTTGATCTTAACTTAACAATAACAATTTAATAAATCAATTACAAGAAGGCTGACAATATTAGACAACCCTATGCACCTAGAAAGACATGCTGTGGCTTCATAACCACAAAGATGAGGTACATTTAAAACCTTAAAAATGGTTCTAAAGGAGCTCTTAGCAGATCTCTTAAATGAGCCCTAAACTATATCAAATTCTATTTCTATGAATTCCATGTGATTACCCAAAATTTTCCTGCCACAAATATATATCCTACTGGTTATCATTATAATACTTTGCAGGAAGAGGAGTGCTAAGTGAATTAAGCCAGTAAGAGAAAGACAAGTATCACATGATCTCACTCATATGTGGAATCTAATGAGTAAAACAAACTGATGAACAAAATAGATCCAGAGACATAGAAGCATGGAACAGACTGACGAATTTCAGAGGGAAGTTAGGGGTGAGTGGGAAGTGATTAACTAATGGGACTTTCAACAATAAAGATAAATTTTTAAAAATTACCATACAGCCCTAACTGGTTTGGCTCAGTGGTTTAATGTTGGCCTGTGGACTCAAGGGTCCCAGGTTTGATTCCAGTCAAGGGCACATGCCCAGGTTGTGGGCTCGATCCCCTGTGTGGGGCATGCAGGAGGCAGCCAATCAATAATTCTCTCTCATGACTGATGTTTCTATCTCTCTCTCCCTTCCTCTCTGAAATCAATAAAAACGTATTTTGGAAGAAGAAAAAATTACCGTACAAAGTTAAAAAAATAAAATACATTTTCAGCAAACATAAATATAACTAAAGTGAAGTAACTTTAGAAACAGCTGCACAGGTCAGGTTGTGTGGGCCAAGGAGATTTAGAACCAAAGTTTAGAAAAAACATTGGGTGTTCAGTTTTTGTATTTAGTCTTGCAAATGAGGACTGGTAGGTCTTCACCTGTGTTTGTACACTCTGTCTGTCCTAAGTGTCTCTTATGTGCCAGGTATTCTTGTTGGGTGCTTACAGGATATACAAATACAAGCATCTTTGTCCTTGCCTTTTGGGG